TTCTTCTTCTTCTTCTTCTTCTTCTTCTTCTTCTTCTTCTTCTTCTTTTCTTCTTCTTCTTCTTCTTTACTTCTTCTTCTCCTTCTCCTTCTCCTCCTCCTCCTCCTCCTCCTCCTCCTCCTCCTCTTCTTCTTCTTCTTCTTCTTCTTCTTCTGACAGGGTCTCTATGCAGCTCTGGCTGTTCTAGAACTCACTACATAGACCAGGATGGCCTTGAACTCACTTAGATTCTCAGGCCTCTGCTTCCAGGTAGCTTGTGCTACCATGCCCTGTGCCTGTTGTCTTTTGTTTTTTGGGTTGTTTTGTTTCTTGAAACCTTGGCAATTGAGCCTGAGGACTCACAGATTCTAGACAAGTGCTCTACCACTAAGCTCTAGTCATAGCTTGTCTGTCTGTCTGTTTACTGAATTTCTCTCCACAATTCCCCTGGAAGAGAAATAACTGGAGCCCATGTTAATCTTTCCCTGGTTCTTTTTTTGTTCCCTATCCCCTTTCCTTGAGTGGCCTCTGAAGTAGGAGTGCTTAGCTTCCTTGCTTTTCTCCAACAGTTAGCAGATGGTCTATCTAGCAGTCTGCTCCTAAAGTGGAGGCTCTCATGAGTGAGACAGCTCTGCCCTGCCCCCACCCTGATGCTTGACTCAGTTACCACATGGCTGTGGTTTAACCTTGACACTAACTATCCTTGACATTATGAGCTAATTAGAACCATTTCTATTTTGCCCTCGCTAGCTCTGGTCACCTTGAACAGTGTCCACTTCTCTGGCATATTTGGGTATATGGCAACTGTGCATGGGATCAATTGCCACCTGTCGATAACAAGAGTCCAAGTGGAATTATGAACATGGCTGGCACTACACTTGGGAAAACAGAGCTGGTGGTGATGATTATGATGGCATGGCGGACAGTAGGCTGGGCAGGGCTTTACAAAGGGAGCACAGACTTTGATGCATGCGGGTATGAAAGTTCTAGTTTAAGAGCATTATGAGAAAACAGAAGTTATGATTTTGTACCGTGACCCTCCTTATTTCTCATCCCACTTGAAGCCTAGGAGAGCCTTTCAGATCCTAAGCCTTCTACGCTGTCCTATGGCTCGTACAGGCTGATGTCTCCCCACCAATTAGAGAATCCCAAAATAGCACAGCAATTCCAACTGGCAATCTAGGGGAATTGTCAAGGGCCATGAGTGACCTCCTCTCTTCACTGTTGCTCATGCTCCTTAAATACCAGGAATCAAAAGATGAAGCTCAACCAGTAGAGTCTGGTCTATGTCCAATACGGTCCAGGGCAAAATGAAGAGCTGAAGACAGCCAGGACCCTCTGATGGCCAAAGCTGCCTATGAATGCTTTTGTCCAGCGTTCCCCCCTCCTGTCCCTCTGCTTTTGAAAGACCCACAGAGCTGCCAAGAATGAGTGGAAAGTTTCAAGGTCAGCCTCCCACCACCCCCACTTTCCATTGTCTAAAATCAGCCTCAGCTGTCCCTCAATATTTTTTTCTTGCTGGTGATGTCATTCTATCAATGCGTGTGACCCTGGGCTCCCCTAGGAGAACAATGATGGGGCAGGAGGGAGCTAGAAAGACCATGTTAGGAATTGGAGGTGGAGCCATGACAACAGATAAATGTCCAAACTTTGGGGAGCATCTTGTCACTCGGGTGGCAGCCCCTCCATCTTTCAGTGCTCACAGGTGAGCCTACAACAGCCGCAGCTCAGGATGGAGGCAATCAAGAAGAAGATGCAGATGCTCAAGTTAGACAAGGAGAACGTTCTGGACCGGGCTGAGCAAGCTGAAGCTGAGCAGAAGCAAGCAGAAGAAAGAAGCAAACAGGTGGGCACTGGCATTGGCCTTTCTCACTGGTTACAAAACAGAGGTGAGCATTTAACCCCGCACTCAGGAGGCAGAGACCAGCCTGATCTACATAGCAAATTCCAGGACAGCCAGAGAGAGAAAGAGCAGAGCGAGAGAGAGAGAGAGAGAGAGAGAGAGAGAGAGAGAGAGAGAGAGAGAGAAGGTTTGTTTTCATGGGAAAATGGAGGGGCAGAAAACATCTAGGGCAGTGGTTCCCAACCGGCAGTGGCTTACGATCCTGTTGGATTTCAGAGGGGCTGCCTAAGACCATCAGAAAATGCATTACAACTCATAACAGCAGCAGAAAAATTTATGGTTATGAAGTTGCAATAAAATAATTTTATGGTTGAGGGTCACCATGATATGAGGAAGTGCATTCAAGGGCTGCAGCATGAGGAAGGCTGAGAACCACTGCTCTAGGGTCCACCTTGGACTGTCCACATGACCTTGAGAAAGCCGGTGGCCTCTTCTGTGCCACAGTGTGTCCGCTAGACTTAAGCAGAAGTAGACCATGTCTTTGAAGAAAGTGTGACTTCTAGGGTGAAAGGTAAGACCACGCTCCCTTTTTCGCCTCTCTTCAATAGCATCATTGACATCTTCCCCACTAGATGTTTACCATCCAACAGACTTGGTGGTTTTAGGGCCAGGGTCTGATGTCAAGCCACAGCCTAACACACGGAATGGTGGCTGCAGAAAGTGTGTCTCTCTGGGGGGTGTAATGGGGAGGCCGAGCTGCGTGGTTATGTTTATGTCTCTGGTTACTGTTCGGGCTGCTACAGCTAGAGGATGAATTAGCAACCATGCAGAAGAAGCTGAAAGGAACAGAGGATGAGCTTGACAAGTATTCTGAGGCTTTAAAAGATGCCCAGGAGAAGCTGGAGCTAGCAGAGAAGAAGGCGGCTGATGTAAGTTTTTACGGACTTGGCTTCACTACGGGTTCATAGGCTGTGGATACATAGCCAGCATAACGCTTTTGCATGAACCACATGCTGGCATGCTCTTATGTTGGAATATACTTTTTTACTCAAAGACATATTAAAGCTGAGAGCATAGTTCAATGATAGTACTGCTTTCCTAATATGTGTGAATCCCTGGGTTCTATGTCAAGCACTGAAAAAAAAAAAGAGACATATGAAGTCTCATTTCTGTACTACCCAACCTCCTCCCCAGTAATCTAATGACCTTTCCTAGGACCTGGACCAAGGGAGGGGTTCCCACGTCCCAAGCACGCTATCAGGTATCCATTTCCTCCCCTGTGCCGCATTGTTAGCTTTTGTGTACAAGGCTTGGCATGTGCATGTGTGTATTAATAGGGAAGCTCTCATCTCTCAATTACCCAACAAAGACAGCTTCGATTTCACAATAGGAAATGGAGGTCACATTGACCCTGACCCTGTATGGGTTCATTTGTCCTGGTCAAGGTGAGTACCTGCCCTTATGCCACAGAGATGCTACAGGGAACGCTGATCATCGGAGAGCAGTGAGGTATCAAGGGTGGACTAGACCAGAAACTAGGAAGCAGGCAAATATATCACCCTAGACCTTATTTCATGGCCCTGAATAAATTACATAGCTCTTTAGGGCTTTGCCCTCTTAAAATTGAAATTAGCTGCCTTCACTCACTGCCTCTTCTAGTTCAGCACCTACTTTCCTTCGTCATCAACCTTGATGTTCTCTGCATAGAAACGAGAGACTATAGAGGACATCTGTTTTGAAGAAAAGTAACAGAGGATTGTCTATTTATTTATTTATTTATTTGGGTTTTTCGAGACAGGGTTTCTCTGTGGCTTTGGAGCCTGTCCTGGAACTAGCTCTTGTAGACCAGGCTGGCTTCGAACTCACAGAGATCCGCCTGCTCTACCTCCCGAGTGCTGGGATTAAAGGTACGTGCCACCACCGCCCGGCTATTATTTCTTATTTGGGGTACTGGGGATTAAATCCAGTGCCCACCAACACTGACCTAGCTCATGGGGATCTTGGAAGTCATGAAAGAGTATGTCAGTCACACAGGCATTTCTCAGCATCTGGGCAAGGAGAAAAATAGAAGCCGATCTTGTTTAAAATCACATTTGCTGTTGGAAAACAGCTTAAAGGACAGAGTGGATCCCTTACAAATGCATTTAGATCTTCACATTCAAAGGCAAGCCCTCTTCTCTTTGGCTCTTCACTTCCAAAGGCTCAGACATAGTGAATGTTGAGCACATGACACCAGATGGTGGTGTGAGCAGGGTGCTGCGCACTGCACAGTCGCAGTGTCTAAAAGTCTTATCCCTTACACACTGCTATGTCTGGTTTAGGAAAACTGGAAAAACAACAATATGTTGTCTCCAGGATTGAGCAAAGACTTGAAGCCCTGCTTGAATCACTTAGACTAGCTTACAGGTACAGATGGATAGATCTCTCTGATCCTAAGTCTGAAGGCAGAAGGACAGATGTTTTCACAAACTAGCACTATGACAGGTTAGCAGCAATTTTGTTAGATGTTAAGTAACCTCCCTGGGAAGGTCCTGAGCCAGAAACAGCTCAGAACCAGGAGAAGAGGTCAGTAGGATGCAAATCTGGGGAGAAGGAGAGGGAAGGAGTCCCAGAAAGTATGCCAGTATATTCAGAAGGATAATGGAATTCCCTAGGAGTGAATGTTGCCAATTTTAGGATGTTTTGCACACAGGAGTACAACACACACACACACACACACACACACACACACAAACACTCACATTCTATACAAACCTTGTCTTACAACTATATTTATATAGGAATCCACAAAATATTAGTTTGTTGAGAGAGGGTTGCCCTGTGTAGCTCTGAATGTTCTAGAACTCACTGTAGACCACACTGTCCTCAAACTCAGAGATCCACTTGCCTCTGCCTCCTGAGTCTACCACTGTCTGCCTAAAATATTTAAATATGTAAAATGTCTTAAAATTTAAAATCCTCAACCTAACTCTGTCCCCTTTGTTACCTTTCTTACAGTCAGTGAGTGCCCCTCATAGATATGTACAAGAACAAGAAACAGACTAGGCCTGGTGACATATGCCTTTAATCCCAGTACATGGAAGGTGAAGGCAAGAGGATCTCTATGAGGGTGAGGTCAGCTTAGTCTACACGGTTAAGTTCTGGGACAATCAGGGCCATAGAGAGAAACCCTATTTCAAACAAATCAAAGGAAGAGTGAGAGGGATTTGTTGAGACAGAAACAGGAAGTTTTCCCAAAGTTCCATCTGTGGGTATAGCCCTGCCACAGCCTGGTTCTGTAAGTAAAGTTTTATTAGAACGCACCCATGCTCTTTCATTTACATATTGTCTAGTGGTTTTCTCCCTCCAATAAAATAACTGCTGCAGAGTTTGTATGACCTGCAAAGACAGAAATTCTATCTGGCCTCTTACTGAAAACCTGCTGACTCTTCATTTTAAGTACAAGAAAGTAAGTAGGGTGTCTATAGGAACTGGGAAGAGACCGAGATTTCAATATAGAGCGAGGATCATAAGGTGCTCATCTTTGTGGAGAGGGTGCTTTGTCTAACAGAAAAGGCTCACAGCTCAGCTTCTGACCTTGAGATTAAAAATAAATAAGCAGCATATTATCTTGATGTAACTGTATAAGGGAGGGAGAGAGAGAGAGCGCGCGAGAGAGCACCAGTAACCCCATGTTTACACCGGTAGTTTTAGTTGTCTGAGGAACCTTTCTGAGTGTATAGGATTTTCTAGAACTGCTTGAATAAAGAAAGGGCAAAGATGTAGTAAGGTCAGCCCAATCTTGTGGGTTTTTCTTCCAGAGCAGTGGTGGTGCTCACCTTTAATCCCAGCACTTGGCAGTCGTAAGCGTCTATTTACATTTTTGTGCAACCATGTGTAATATTTTTTTTGTGCATGTATGGATGTGTATGTGCTTGCCTGTGAGAGTGTGGAGGCAGAATCTCTCACTCAACCCAGAGTTCACTGACTAGCTAGGCTAGCGGGCCAGCAAGCCTAGGATCTACCTGTTTCTGTCCCCCAGCTCTGGGACGGCAGATGCACAGAGCCACACCTGACTTTGTGTGGGTGCTGGAGAACTGCATTCAGTTCTTCATGCTTGTACAGCACATGATCTGTCCAACCTATAAGATCCTCTTAATCCAAGATGAAATCAGAAGCTGTTTAGGGAGAAACAAGAGCCAAGAGGAATGTAATGGGTCGGACTGAGGACATGAGAATCATAACACCCATTTTTTAGGAACAAATGTTGGGAGGGATGAGGAAAGAAGAGAACGGGGATGGACAGAGACACCTGTTGGTAGGTTGTATTGTTTGTCACCAGGAAAACAATAGCACTGTTTGGTCTCCCTCCTGCCAGTCCGGCATGCCTTTAAAAGCTATCCGGAATCTACCCATCTGCTTCCCTGGATCAAGAGATTATCTGTACACGCCTCAGGAACGCAATGCAGTGTTGGCTCAACTTTTTGGTTTGCCTAGGATGAGGTCTAAGGGTACAGGGAGGTATAACAGTGCCGCCTGCTGGTCAGCACTCAGAGGATAAACTTTTCACTAGCAACTCCTCTGAAGAGACTTAAAACAAACTTAAGAAATACTTAGGTCATCAAGACAATGTTAGAACCGGGCTTCTCGGTGGGAATCGACGTGCACAGGAGATACTCTACTGAGAAAATTACTGTTTGTCCAAGTTGTTTCTTTTTTTTTTCTTTTTTCTTTTTTTTCTAGAGTAAATTTTATTAAATTATAAAAGTTTCCATTTCCGCCCCTCTTCCCAACACCCTCCCACTCCCCCCACTCCCTCTCCTCCTCCCTCTTCGTCCCTTAGGGCAGTCAGGGTTTCCTGCCCTGTCCAAGTTGTTTCTTCTGAATAATTTCATTGTCGAGCGGTCTTCTTTTCTTTCCAAAAGGAAGGGAGATACCTGAGAACCAGATCGTGCAGAGAGAGCAGTTAAGAGTCTTGCTGAGCCGAGAGCCTCCCCAGGGTTAATTCCCCAAGCCCATGTTAATAGTTTTAGTTCCAAGCCCTACTCCATACCCCATTTCTCAAGGGAAGAGAAGAGTTCTATCAGAGGAGAAATTTATGGTTATTACTTTCCAAGAAGGCAGGAGAAATAAAGATCGGCTGTGATAGTTCACACCTGGAAGTTCAGCACTTAGGAAACTGATGAAGAAGAGTCCAGAGCCTAAGACCAACCAGGGCTACAAAAATGAGGTGAAGCCAACCAGGACTCCCTGAAACACCATCTCAAAAACAAAAACATAGCAAGCAAGCAAAGAAACAAAACCAACAAAAACTAGAGTAGCAAAGAGAAAATAAAGTAAACCTCTTTACAGTTGTGTGTCCAGAGACCCTGTAGGCAAGGCCTGTAGACGCAGAGTTTAGTTCATATCATTTTCCTTGGAGCAACTGAAAGCTGGAGTGGCAATCAATCACACTGGTGGAAGGAATTATAGTTTAGAGGTTAAATTCTACAATAGTTTCCCAGATGTTTGTATCTTACTGTTGCACCAAGGATATAATAGGGGAACAATAATAAGGAATTTTTATGATAGAATAGAGACATAAAGAATCTTGTCTTCAAAAGGGTTTGTAATTGGTCGTGCATACAGACGCTCAGAGGCAACAGGAGCCGGGCAGTGGTGGCACACACCTTTAATCCCAGCACTCGGGAGGCAGGCGAATCTCTGAGTTTGAGGCCAGCCTGGTCGACAGAGCAAATTCCAGGACAGGCTCCAAAGCTACTAGGAACTATGTCTGTCTTAAAACAAAACAAAACAAAACAACAAAAAAAAAAACCAACAAGAAACAAGACTGGTATTCTAAACCAGAACACTAAAATCTAAAGAGAACACTAAAATCCACACCTGACCTTACAGAATGCCAACTTGTCCATCTCTCCCACCCCTATAGTTCCTTTATTGACTCCCAGGAGATGGGAGAGATTTTTATCTGAACAGTTTTGGGTTTTGTTTTGAAACAGGATTTTATGTAGCTCAAACTAGCCTTGAATTCACCACTTAGCCAAGGATGACCTTGACTATTTTATTTTCTGTCTCCCCCCCTCCCCCTCCCCCCCAGTACTGAGGATACAGATACTTGCCACTCTTCCAGTTTCCACGCTTCTGGAGCTCGAGCCCAGAGCTTCGTGCAGCCTCTGCTAGCGCTCTACAAACTCAGCAACATCCACAGACCCTCTGAATAGATTTTTAAGGGAGCTCCCTGGGACTCTGCAGGATGAAGTCTAGAGTCTTTGGGGGCTTTTCTCAGAACCTGGTTTTGGAGTCTGTCGTTGAGTGAGTAAAATAGCATGTGGGCTATTTTATATTGCAGAGTGGAGAGGACACACAGAAGAGAGGGGTCAACTGCTGAAATATAAAGACAGCACCATACTTGTAAATGGGCCAGCCATTGTTGGGAGGCAGCCTGGTGGGTGAGGCTAGACCACAGCGCCTCTCAGTTACTATGGTAGCCTTACCCAACCCCGCCCCCCTTTACTGGCCTGGGGAAAGACCGCCCTGAGCGGTCACCTAGGGCGACTGGGAGGCTCCACCCCTCACTTTCGCCCGCGTCCCTCGAGTGGACTGCCTTCCCGCCTGCTTGGCAGGGGAGGTGGGGAACGCGCGGTGGCAGGCGTCACATCCGGGCGGGTGGGTGAGTTCCGGTATTTCAGGGCGGAGCAGGCGGAAGTAGGGTGAGAAGCGGCTACAAGCCGAGCGGAGGAGGTAGGACCCCGAATTCCAGAAGCAGCTGGGTGGGCACCATGGCCGGGATCACCACCATCGAGGCGGTGAAGCGCAAGATCCAGGTTCTGCAACAGCAGGCGGATGATGCCGAGGAGAGGGCCGAGCGCCTCCAGCGGGAAGTGGAGGGAGAAAGGCGGGCCCGGGAGCAGGTACGCGGAGGGCGAGGCGCAGCAGGGAAGGGATCGGCGCCCCTCGGCTGTGGACCTCAGCTCCACGGTGGCGTCTTGGAGGCCCGGACTAAGCGCGGAGCCTCCAGGTTGGGTGGGACTCGATTACTCGATTACGATGGCCCGGTAAGCGAGCACGGAGGAAACTAGGTGCTCACGCGAGCAGGCTGCACCCTGGAAAGAGCCGAGCCCCGCACGGCGCGGGCTGCTCTTTCCCTTCTTCCCCCCCCCCCGCCCTCCCAGCTCATTCATTCGGTCCCTCGGCGCCGGGTGCGGCTAGGGGAGGGGCTCAGCGGCCTTTCCCCCCCCCCCCCACTTCTCCGCAAAGGGTGGGGACCCTTTGCTCTCGTTTGAGGTTTCCGGCCAGAGGGTAGAAGTAAATGTGTGCTCCTCTGGCCCGGGAGGGGCCAAGCCTAACCTGTGAAAGATGAGGGTGGGAGGTGGGAACCGCCGGAAAGCCCCCGGCTGGCCTGCTGGCTGCTTTTCCGCTCCCTCCTCCTGCTCAGGAAATGAGCCAGCAGTTGGCTGAGAGGAAGCGCGGTTCCCTCCCTCACTGGCGGAGCTTAAGGCCGCCGCACCACCTCCTGTCCTCGAGCTTGGGGACCTTTTGTAACTAACTGGTACTCCCGCTCTTCAGTCGTTGTGAAGTAGGAGAGGAGATGGTATTCCTCCCGACGTTAGCAAATGCCGGAGCCAGCAAACTTCCTAGGCCCTGCCCATCATGACCTGAAAGGCAGGAACTTCTGCCAGATTCCGGCCTGAAGTGTGAACAGTGCAAACTTGACTTATGGGGAACATTTCTCCTAAGCAGGGCTGATAAGGGAGTGTATAGCAGAAAGCCAAATGCCAGGCCAGTCTCAAGGTTCCTGATTGATCTGAACACCGTGGAGGATGGAAATAGATTAGTGAGTGGCCATGGTGCTGGGGGGAGGAGGGCTGCGTTCTTAGTTATCCTGTACAGTGGTTTTTGGGATGAATGGATTCTTACCAAAGACCTAATGAAAATAACTTTAGTGGCTTATTGGTGTTCTTAATTGCTCTTGCTTTTGGTGTCTTTCTTCCACTTTGCTGCTTGTTTGGGGAGAAACTTAGAATGTTTTTGAGGGCCTAAAGGGGTGAGCATAGCTCCCTTCCAAGTTGATGTTTAGAGGTTATTAAAATACTTGTATGCATGGGCATGGAGATGCCAGGGCTTGTCTTCACCATCACCGTTTCCTAGGCATCCAGTGTGATTGTTTGAGACTGGGTATCCTTTTGTATTCCCAGCAGTCCTCCTGCCTGACCCTCCCAAGTGCTGGAATTACAGGCTTGCTTGACCACTCCTGGCATGCCTGCAACTTCTCCTTATCAAATCTAGTGAGATTGTTCTAGAGATGAGAAAGTCTTCAAAAGGAGAAATGGAGAGTATGGGGGAAGGAATTACCCTGCGCTACAGAGTCTTAGGCTGATTATTTAGGTATGGGTACCTTGGGAGTGGCTCTAGGGTAGGTAGGGTGTGTCGGTCTGTCCCAGAATCTGGCCCTTTTCCGTGTAGGAAAAATTGAACTCTCCTTCCTTCTGCAGGCTGACTCTGGAACGATAAGCATCAGCTTGAGCGTTTTCACGGGTGCAGAGCTTACCAAATGTGCACATTTCACGGAAGTCTCCTGAGGAAGTCCTCAGAATGGGGAAGTGGGCTGTAGTTAAATATTGATGAGACTAGTCTTTTCTTTGTGAACTTTTGGCTTAATGCACCTGTGAACTTTGAACCTCGGCCGTGGAGTCATAGTGGGAAGAGAGCCCTTTGGGTCTCCTGTTCTCTAGGGTCACTGGAATGCGGGAGCCTATGCTGTTATATTAGTGGACCATCAGGTCTTTTTCTGGTTACTTTGTAGGGGCCCCCTAGCCTGCCCCTGTTACACCGGGTGAGGCCAGAACTGAGAGGCAAGTTCTGAGGTCAGTGTTTCCCGTTCTTGGCCTGGAGACAGGCTTTTATAGTATAGCTCCTGCTAGCTCCTGCTCAATCTCACTTTCAGTTTTTTATTTAGTAAGAGGGTTTTATTGCTTGGCTTTTTAGGTGGTGCTGGGATCAGACCTAGGGCCTTGCGCTAGACAGGCTTTCCGCCACTGAGCCACACCCTCGGCTCTGCCCCGTCTAAAACAGGTGACGACTTAAATGTGTTTATTGTAGGTGATAAAAATGCATATATAGCTTAAAATTTTGCCTGTTGAGGCTGACCTTGAAGTGCTGGACTCAGTGATCCTTCTGCTTTGGCCTTTGGGATATTCTCTGGTGTTCACTGCTATGCCAGGATCTCCATTGTAACCTTTCTTTTTTATTACTATTTTTATTTATGTGCATGTATGTGTGTCTGACCCCTGGAGCTGGAACTACAGACAGTTGTGAACACTGTCCCCCAAATTCACCTTGTAGGTACTAGGTGGGGGCCAAAGTCTGCGAAAGCAGCCAGTGCTCTGCCTGCTGAGCCATCTCTGTAGCCCATTGTAACCATTTTTAAGTGTATGGCCCATCTTACCCTTTGAAACTATCTCTCTTCAAATTTCCCATGGTATTTTTCATTTTGTTTTGGTCCAAAACATAGGAAGTCCTGTTGAGGGAAGGAGAGTGGGCTTTGGACTGTGGTTCTGGCAAGAAGCCCAGATTCTTGGTCTCTGAGGGGGCTAGTGCGTGTGGCACTACACTAGTTGAGGATGTGCGCGTGTTTGGTGGACACGTACCAAGCACTGTGGCCTCTCTGGCTTAGAGGCTTGGATCGTTCTGTCTGCGACTTGTCTTTCTGTGCCCCCCATTTCAGAGCGCACTCCTACAGAAGAGGCAAGCAGCCCTTGGCTCTAAGTTGCTCTGCTTAGACCCCACCTTTGTTGACTCTGGGGCGGACAGATTGCTCTTTCCAGAGTCTGGAGCTCCTGGCAGCGGTGTCTGTGGACGCCATGTGCTCAGCAGTCCTTTCTTCAGCAGTCTGACTCTTAAAGTCTCTCTCTACTTGGAAATACACCTGTGACATATCTAAGAGAAACCCCAGGCAGCAGAGGGCCAGATTGAGACTTATCTCTGTCCTTGGCCCCGCTCGACCCTGACTACCAGTTCCCCATCAGCTTCTTACTTTAAGAAATGTAGTATGTATTGGGCCTCTTTACATTTTTTTTAAAGTTATCTTGTTATTATTGAGTATGCATATAATGTATGTGTGCCAGCATGCATTCCATAATGTGTGTGGAGCTGAGTACAACTTGGTGGAGTCTATTCTCTTGCCATTATGTGGATTCGGGGGATCAAACTCAAGATTGTCAGTCTTGTATTGAGGCAACCATCTTTACCCACTGAGCCGTGTGGACAGCCCAGGGTAGTACGTAAACTAAACTGGTGTCATGGCCAAAGCTGTCAGCCAGCTTCTTTCTTTTTCATTTCTTTTTGATTTCTCTGTGTAGTCCTGGCTCTCACTCTGTCTTGGAACTCACTCTATAGACCAGGCTGTCCTTGAACTCCTACCTCTACCTCCTACCTCTACCTCCAATGACTGGGATTAAAGGCGTGCATTAGCCATCTTTTATTATGACCAAATGACTGCACTTCCCACCACCAGGATTTTGCTTCCTAAATGGTGGAAAATCCTATTATTGAGTGGAAGACCTCACACTGTATCCTCCAAGTTTCAGGGGGGTAGGGAGTATCTGCTGGGCTTTCAGGTAAAATTTAGGATTCATTGAAAAAGTACTAAGTGTAGTGTTTCTCTGGATCAGGCTCGTCTGCATAAGGACTTGGTGTTGATCTGAGTGATGTGTATAAGCTTTGCTTAAAGGAAAAATCAGGTTATCTTCTTTATTCCTCTAAATGGAGTACCAGAGCTAGATTTTGCAGGCTTTTGTTTTCTTGTAAAGAGAACTGATCTGCTGCAGGCCAAGAGGAGCATCCTGTCCTGGACTGGCTGCCCTCTGGTCTGTCTGCCTGAAGCTTTTGCAGGGATTCCTTAGTCTTTGGTTCTGGTGTTAAAACAGGCTTGCTATTTATAAGAGCACCAAGATGTATTTTCTTCCTCTTTTTTTTCACCCTTGTGAAGAATTCAATTGTAAATGCTGTTTTGTAGGAGAAAGTGCCAGAGCCAGCCTGTTGCCATGGAAACTATACCCTGCCCCCATAGCCTGTTATCTTTTTCCAGTTGGAGAAACTAGGAGCTGGATGGGGGCTTACATTTCATGTGCTTCCTACAAATCCAGTTGTTTTTCTTTTCTTTAATTTTTTTTACGTTTATTTTATGTATATGAATGTTTTACCTGTGTGTATATTATGTGTGCCGTGCGTGAGTGTGCCTGGTGCCCATGGAAGTCAGAAGAGAGCTTTGGAGCCTCAGGCACTGTAATTATGAATGGTTATGAACCACCATGTGGGTGCTAGGAATTAAACCTGGGTTCTCTACGACAGAAACAAGAGCTCTTAACTGCTGAGCCATCTCTCCAGCCCAGCCAGCTGCATTTTTTTTTACATTTCTGTTGAGGCATCTGAAGGGGGTAAGTACTGTATAGTATTGTGGGTGTTTCAGAGCCCCGTCCTGATAGCCTGACTTGTCCTTGACTGCTTGGCCTTGTTGGGTTTGTGTGAAGTCTGTGCTGTCCTGACTCCAGGACGTCTGTTTTCCTAGAAGAGACAACAAGAGAATGCTTGTCTTTGTAGGACTCTGAATGGTACAGTTAGGAATTTCCATTTATGTAGACTTCTCAGTCTTCTGTTCCTATAGCCTGGCCTCCTGCCTACTTTCCCAGTCTTGTGAATCTCCTGTGTTTATATGTGGAAATTTTTGTTCCTCTCCTGATTGTTAGCAGGAGTCTTGTCCGGTTATATCCCTCCCCATAGGGCTAATGGCCTAGATTCCTCAGCTGCCACCCCCTTGCCTGTTAAGAGGAAACCAGGGTAATAGGATTCAGGCACAGTCTGGGCTGGAGAAAAGAGCTAGAATTCACCAGGATATAAGCATCTGAACATCATCGCGTGCAGCAAAGACCTTACAGTTGGATGGTTTGGTTGTCTTATTGAAAACACAGCCTCCCTGGGTAGCCCAAAAGTTAGCCTTGAACTCACAATCTGCCTCTTGGTCTCCAGAGGGCTCAGATTACGGCCATGCACTGTCACACCTATGAAGATGCTTTCTATATAACCTACATCTTTTTGTCTGTTTCTCATTTATAGCCGGTTCATGGCTTACTTGAGCTTGTACATTACTGTGTGGAAGCCAGGGAAGTTACTGTTGTGGATTGTACGGAAGTCCAGTGAAGCTTAGGAGGCTGTTAGACTGCCCGAGGAGAGGCAGAAGGTGGAAGCTAGGTTTCTTGTTTGGTTGTTGTTTTTATAATGTTATTTTTTTCTTAAGGGAATAAGGGAACATTGAAGGGCTGGGGTGGGGGAAAGATTCCAGTTTGTTTTTTTTTTAAGTGGGCGAATTCGAGTGTACGTGGGCAACAGCGGGTGTGTGGAGGTCAGAAGACAACTTATAGAAATTGCTTCTCTCTGCTGATTGGGTCCTGGTCTTGGCATCTGGGGTCTTCACCAGTTTCAGATACCCCGATCTTGCATTCTTTTGCTTTCCTATCAGGAAAGCTGTTCCAGAAGGCATTAGTTGGTCATCCTCCTGATGTGTTAGGGTGAGGTGATCAGAAGGTTACCAACTTAAACTACAAACTAAATTAATTTATAGAGAAATATTATAAAATGTTGTAAATACTAGCCAGGCGGTGGTGGCACATGCCTTTAATGCCAGCACTCTGGAGGCAGGGGTAGGTGAGTCTCCGTGAGTTCGAGGTCAGTCTGGTCTACAAAACAAGTTCCAGAACAGACTCCAAAGCTACACAGAAAAACCCTGTCTCAGGGATAACAAAAACAAACAAAAAAATTATATGTGTGGGTCTCTGTGTGTGTGAGGGGGAGGGGAGGGAGGGAAGGGAGGGAGAGAGAAATAAAAGAGAATCTGGAGTTGAAATCTAGAGTCAGGTATCAATTTGTTGAGCATGAGGCAGAAGTCTGTCTTCTTTGGCTGCTTTTTTGAGACAGGATCTCACCATGTAGATCAGGCTGGCCTCAGACCCACAGAGACTCACCTACCTCTGTCTCCTGCATGCTGGGATTGAAGGTGTGTATCATTACACCTGGCTTTGTTGACTTTTATAGGTTCTGGAATTTGAATTGAGTCCAGAAGAGAGAGGATAATACTGTCTGTACAAGGAACTGAACTTTAAAACACTCTTCAGGGTTGAGGATACGTCTCAGTTGTTAAAGTACCTTCTAACATATATGAGTCCTAGCTTTCGTTCCTAGCATAGCATAAATTGGACATCGCAGTACATGACTGTAATCCCAGCCGAGGCCAGATTTGGACACAATGAGATTGGTTCACACAAACAACATTTTATGTAGTACAAATGGGAGTTCTTAGTTGGAAAGTCAGAAATTGGTTTATACTCCTGTGTGTTAGATCTGTTAGGCATTTGAGCCAAGACAGGATCTTTATTAATTGACTCTAGCGTCTCTGTAGTAGTGAATCCAGCTTCTGGTGTGTTGGTTCTTTTCACCAAATCTCTTTCCTTTCCTCACTGACTTAAGGCTGAAGCCGAGGTGGCCTCCTTGAACCGCAGGATCCAGCTGGTTGAAGAGGAGCTGGACCGTGCTCAGGAGCGCCTTGCCACTGCTCTACAGAAGCTAGAGGAAGCAGAAAAGGCTGCTGATGAGAGCGAGAGGTATATGGGGGGTGTGAATTCCACAAGCATCTGCCAGCGGGTAGCTGAGGGTGGAGCATCAGCTACTGGCCTGCGATGTCCTAGCTTCCATTCCCAGCACTGCAGACAAAATAGTAATAGTGGCTCTCTTAGACCTGTTCACTCTGGTTCTATTTTTTGTTTTGTTTGGGTTTTTCTTTTGAGTCATGGTCTCTTGTAGCTCAGACTGGCTTTAAACTCTTAATCCCCCCACTTCGACTTTCCAAGTGCTGTGTTACAGGCCTGTGCTACCACATCCTGTTCTACACTTGTTTCTGTTTTTGCACATTGAGCCCAGCGTCTCCCTTACGTGCTAAGCACATCCTCTAGCATTGAGTTGTACTCCCAGTCCTGAGATCTACTTTTTTTTTTAAAATATTTTTATAGTTTATTTAACTTTATTTTATGTGCATTGGTGTGAAGGTGTCAGATCCCCGGCAGCTGAATCTTCAGACAGTTGTGAGCTGCCACGTGGGTGCTGGGAATTGAACCTGGGTCCTCTGGAAGAGCAGTCAGTGCTCTTAACCACTGAGCCATCTCTCCAGCCCCCGAGATCTACTTTTTAAATGGTAGTGATTTGTGTATTACTCGTGTCTGTGCTTCATGCATGAGTTGAACTGGGACCTTGCACTTCCTAGGCCCCTGCTTTATTGTGAGGTCCTTTCCATTATCTTTTTGTTGTTGTTGTTGTTTTGGTTTTTCGAGACAGGGTTTCTCTGTATAGTTATGGTGCCTGTCCTGGAACTAGCTCTTGTAGACCAGGCTGGCCTCGAACTCACAGAGATCCGTCTGCCTCCCGAGTGCTGGGATTAAAGGCATGTGCCACCACTGCCCAACACTTTCCATTATCTTAAATTGTTCATTTTATAAGAAAAAATTTTAACCAGGCAGTGGTGGCACACGCCTTTAATCTCAGCACTCAGGGCAGAGGCAGGTGGATCTCTGAGTTTAAGGACAGCCAGGATTACACAGAGAAACTCTGTCTCTAAAAACCTGAAAAGAAAAAAATTTAAATTAAATGGTACAGGCACTCAAGTGCTATTAAATTTCCATTTGGGTGGCAAACAGAAATGGACTTTAAAAGGGTGTGATTTTTGAGTCATTGGAACAGAGCTGGGCACACACCTCAGTGTCATTGCTGTGTTTGTCCTGTCTCTGGCAGAGGGATGAAGGTGATTGAAAACCGGGCTCTAAAAGATGAAGAAAAGATGGAACTTCAGGAAATCCAGCTAAAGGAAGCGAAGCACATTGCGGAAGAGGCAGACAGGAAGTATGAAGAGGTGAGGCACTCTGCAGTGACATACAGGCTCTGCAAAGACGGTATTGCCCTTGCTTGCTTGAGCTATACCAGACTCTTCTTATAGGTGGCTCGTAAGTTGGTGATTATTGAAGGAGACTTGGAACGCACAGAGGAACGGGCCGAGCTGGCAGAGTCGTGAGTATTTTGTCTCCAGATCTTGTCAGACTGTTCTCCCTGCTTGGGCACTAATTTGAGTAAACTAGCATTCTTCGACCTTGTTAGACAGGCCTGGTGGGGTGGGGCTCAGCTCGTGCTTTAGCCTCTAAGAGTGGCTTTGGGCTTTCTCCCCTCTTGGCTAGTAACTGGTAACAAGGCTTGCTTATTCTTGGGAAGATTCTCACATTGAGAATAAATGGCATACAGCTAATAGGAAGATCCTGTTGGGTCCTTCCGCCTGCAGTCTCTTCTCCCTTGGCCTGTACTGACTTCAGACCTGGTCTGTTTTTACCACTTTGCCAATCTGCCTGGGAACTTGAGAGCAAAGGCTTTAGAGAAATCACCTTCTGCCCATTGGTACCAGCTTGGCCTTGTGTAACAAAGTCAGCATGGATGAGTATATGTTTGTGCTTGCCTTGCTCCTCCTCTTCCAGACATGACATTTCATGACCATGGTGGTGTTTTCTTCCCATTTGTTTGTTTATTTTTACCCACTCCCACACCCCATTTTGCGGCTTGTTTTCTTGCTGTTCCTTTTTTAACCTTTTCCCCCACAACCTGGCTTGTGCCATTCCCGTGACTGTCACTAACAGCCGTTGCCGAGAGATGGATGAGCAGATCAGACTGATGGACCAGAACCTGAAGTGTCTGAGTGCTGCTGAAGAAAAGGTACTAACCATTAAGCCCACGGAGAGGTTCCGTGCGTGTGTATCGGTTTTGAGTTTGGTTTTGTTTTGCAGCTGCCTCCCCTCCGCCAGCTGATTTGTTGAGTGCTTCCTCATCTTCATGGAATGCTCCATTCCTTCCCACTTACTCGCATCTCTTACCTCTTCTTTCCTAGTTGCTTCACTGCCTCCCCCAAGGGTCTCTGCCTCCCTTGGGTGACTTGGGGGGTAGTTTGGGTTGGGCATCTGTCCCCACCTCCACACCCAAGGAGCAGATGTAACTTGTTTGTGATTTCTCTCAAGTGTTGTTTCTTTCTTAAAGCCACACCTTGTGAGCACAGGAGGGCCAGCTCCTGCTCTACATGTTCCGTGGTAGAGGGAGGTGGGCTGATGCTTGCTCAGGTTCCTCAGAAACTTTCTTCCTTGATATGCAGTCCAACTCTGTCCACATAGGTTCAATTCACATCTGTGTGTCTCTCTCCTTTTTTTATTTCTTCCTCTTCCCCTTTCCTCTCCTGCGGTATTTAAAATATTCACAGTAAGTGTTCTGAGCTGGAGGAGGAGCTGAAGAATGTCACCAACAACCTCAAGTCTCTTGAGGCTCAGGCGGAGAAGGTAGGGGCTGGTTTGCGAAGATGACAGGCTTGGGGCCTGGGCCCAGCCCTGCCCTTAGTGAAAGAGTAGACACACCCATTCCTTATAAACCTGTGAAGTGTTTCTCCCTACCTCTGTCCATCCAGATTGTAGGTTTAATGCTAATTCCCATCTACCTCCATTGCTTAGGTTCAAATAACTTTGTGGTCTGGTGTGGGCCTGGAGTCCTGTACTCCTCCAACCAATAGTGCTGTGCTAAAAGGCAGTTAAAGGGGCTGTGTGGACTTTGAAGGATGAGGTGAGGTCAGCAGAGCACCAGCTCTCGAGACCTACCTAGCAGCAGTCAGGACAGATGGCTGCCGTTTGCCATGATGGGGGAATGTTTCAGCCGTGGATTTCTGCTGGTTAAGTTGGACAAAGGCAAACACTTTGGAATGATAGAAATAAGTTCAAAGTTAGGTCTGTCAACAAAAACAATCATGGCGGAGTTTACTCTGAATGTTTATGTGTGGAAATGGCTGGGTCTTGAGACCCACTGTTAAACACTGGTCCTTGCTTTTGGTCCTGAAGCCTTTGTACATCAAGTCTAGGAGAATGTCTGTGACTGATGTAAGATTAACATGGCTGTTGTCTGTGAGACCCTTTCTACTCTGACGTTTGTATCCACTTTTCTTCACAGTACTCTCAGAAAGAAGACAAGTATGAAGAGGAGATAAAGATTCTTACTGACAAACTCAAGGAGGTGAGCTGGGGGAAGGTAGAAGGCATTACCTTATAGTAATAATTAGCCTTGCTGCCTTGGCTCTTGGTGGCCTGCAAGTATGACCATCCTCCATTCTGACTGATCTTCTGTTTCCTCAGGCAGAGACCCGTGCCGAGTTTGCTGAAAGATCGGTAGCCAAACTGGAAAAGACCATTGATGACTTGGAAGGTATGGAGCATGGGAGGGAAGGAGGAAGAGGAAGTTCTGGCCCATTAATCTTGAGACTTCTCTCCATTCATCCGAGGGAATTGGTAGTGACTTGGAGGCTATGATGTGTCCTGTCCTATGTCATGGCAGCTAGGCAAAGTGGTCAAACCCGAGAGTTGGATTTTTAATCTTTTCCTTTAATAAAACTTTACCTATTTCTGGAATCTGCCATCTCTCCTTTGAAAAGATTGAGAGACTATCTTTACCTCTAGTTTAGTAGTCTTAAATCTTGGGTCTTAGTTGAAATGGAAGCCATGAATTTTTCAGGTGATGGCGAAGTCCTGTATGTCACCCTGTGGCCACTTCTGGGAGCTCTTTTTGTCACTCGAGTTGCATGACGCTTGTCCAGGAAACCACTTTAACAGGGACAAGTCTTTTCCTTTGGGAACTCCCTGGATATGCTCTTAGGAACTGGCTGGTTTTTGGAAGGGCTTGAGGAGGCAGCCTGTGGAGCAAAGGGCCCATGAATAACGTTCACATTGAGTAAACAGAGGCATCCCCCTGTATGTGCTTGCTCCCTCTTCTGTCTTCCGTCAGTGTTACCGCTGGTTCGGGACTGGGTGGGAGCAGTGTCTCTGCCTGTTGTATCTGGCTTGTGCTCAGTCTCTCCGTTCTTGATACATTTGCTTGGAGACGGCAGGAAGTACTGTTGACTGTTGAGGAAAAGTAGACTGAATGTCATATAATTAAAGGAGGTTCACAAGAGCCCGTAATTAAGGATAACATGTTTATTGGGGAACACTCACAATAAGAAGACTGCTGCGTTCCTCTGCTCTGTGGACACTAGGAGCTACCAGCTGAACCATCAAACGATCCCACTTCCTGTCTGTGCTTATAGTACCTTAGGCCATGCCCTAATGGCTGGTATCTAAAAGGCTATTGGCTGAATGAATTCCCAAACAACTGAAAATGGCCAGTCACAGCTGCCAGAATAGTTTTGTTTTGTCTTTTTCCTTTCTGGTTTTAGACCCACAGTCACATTTTTTTCCTATTTTCTAATGATTCCCTTTCTTCATCTGCTTCTGATACCCCTCACTTTATCCCCTCCATCCTCCCCGTGGTTCCTGTGCCTATCCAGACGAACTCTATGCCCAGAAACTGAAGTACAAGGCCATTAGCGACGAGCTGGACCACGCCCTCAATGACATGACCTCTATGTAACTATCAGGCAGCAGTGGGGTTGGGTTCCTGGCGTGGGTGAGGGCGCAGGCTGCCGTGCAGAGTGTGCTTGGGTTTGGCCTTGAATCGCAACCTCCACCCGCTTAAAAACGTTGGTGCTGCTTATTTGTTGGGCAGAACCTGGGAGGCGTTTAATCTTGGATATAATCTGTGTTCTCTCATTGTCTAATTCTGAGAGCCGCCTTAACCTCAAACTCCAAATTCTTCTGACTCACCCTTACCGCTGAGATCACAGCCCTGTGCCATTGTGCCCGGCTCTTCTCTGCACTGCATTTTCACTTTTTTTCTCAGTGCTAGGTGTGGTGGCACACAACTGTAACCTTTGCATCAAGATGCTAAGGCAGAAGGATTGATGCAGGTTCAAAGCCAGCTAATGCTGCCCGGCAAGACAGCAAAACACTGAATGGATGTGGCGGCGTGAACTTTTAATCCTGGCATAGGCAAATTTCTGAGTTCTAGGACAGCCTGGTCTACAGAGTAAATTCCAAGACAGCCAGGGTTACGTAGAGAGACCCTATCTCAAAAAACAAACAAGAACACATGCACACAAACCCTGATTTATACCCTGAAATGAAAGCTAATGTGACCAGGATGAGAAGCAGCCAGTTTAAGAATTGAGCTGAGTCTCTAAGCAAGCCAACCAGTGAACAGCACCAAAAGTTTTGGGGGCTTTACCTGATCCCTAGTGCTAACCTGCCTCTTCTGCCCACTACCCGGAAGTAGCTGAGTACTGCAGCCTGAAGGTCGGGGTCTGGGTCTCTGTTGCTTTGCCTTTTCCTCCTGAGCTGCCTCTTCTCACCTGGAGTGTCCTTTCTCATGCAGATAAACTGCCACGTTTCTGCTCTGTTCTGGATCTACCCCCTTTCCTTGGGGAACCCAACACCCCACTCGCTCTGGATTCCATTTGGGTCAGCCTGGCTGGTTCCCAAAGCCTTAGGGCTGGGGGGGGGGCACAAAGCAATTTACATACTTGCTTTCACCCCATCCCAAATTAAAATGTTAAGCTGCCAGAAGCCTCGTGCCCTCTGCACTTGTTATTGACAAAACTGTTAAGGAGCCTCTGGTGTGCTGTAAGCACATTCTGGTTTATGTATAATCAAAGCTACTTCTCTGTGTGTGTTTCTTCTTGACACTTAAACTTGCTGATTGGAGTCTTGTCAGTGGTGAACTGGTAAAAGCTCCTCATGGTAGGAAGTCTAATGTTACTCCTTACATCCATCTCAAGCCTTTGACTTCCAAGTTCTTAAACAGTCAATCTGGAGCATTTTCACTTTTTTAGGCCCCTTTCCCATATAGTACGGTCAGCAGACCATTGAATTATTTCCTAATATGCTACCCTTTTGCTAAAGATTCAGACATTACATCCTCAGAGCACATTTGTGCTCTGTGTGATCCATTCTTACATTTAAATAATTCTGTCATCCCAAGTCACAGAAAAACATGTAACATAGCGGGTTGAATTCTCAGTAAATGTGCCTTCCGTCTTTAAGCCTTTCTCACTTATTTGAGGCTGCTACCATTTGTTCAGCTTTATTTTCTAGTGGGAGATCACCAACACACACACACAGATGATTGGGAAAATGTACACATGGGGATAATGACTTACTATTAAATTTCTACTAGTGAAATTCTGGGTATTTGTAGAATTGAATGTCCGCACTTCAGGGTTCGTTCTATACAGCAGATACATTTGACATTATAGATAAATGTTGCATAGTATTTCAGTTTCTTGTCAAAGTATGATTTGAAACGTATTTTTCTTCTCAGCATCCAGTGTGGTTGATGTGGCACAGGGGGAGAACACTCACTCAGTGTTTGAGCCCCAGTGCAACAAAGAAAGGGGGGGGAGAGAAAGGAAAGATAGAGCTAGGTGGAGAAGTGTTCCCCGGTCTAAGTCTCCAGCAAAGCACACCCCATTACCTGTACTGTCTTCCTGCCACATGGCCTGACGTTGTTTAGCTACCCTGTTCCGGTGGCGGATCACTCCAGATGGGGAACTGCCTGCACGCTCTGTAAGGGGAGAGCACAAGCCCAAAGTCCAAGCTGCAGGGTGAGCTGCAGATAGGAAAGTTTGGGAGCTAAATGGGAGGGGCACTGATTCCATGATTGCTCCCAAATTGGAATTTTTGAGCTCTTTGTCATTTTGAGATAGTTTTGCACTAGCCCAGGCTGTCCTAGAACAGTATGTGCCCAAGCTGCTCTTGAGCTCACAGCAGTCCTGCCTCTGCCCTTCTGAGACATGCTCCACCCCTGTACCAGATTTGGATGACATTTGTTCATGTTGTCTGGGTGATAAAGATTCTGAACACAGCCTTTACCTCTGAACTACATCACCAGCCTCAAGACTGATTTTTAATGAGCAGAAACAAGGTTTAACACGTGCATGCACACGCACGCACGCACGCGCGCGCACACACACACACACACAGAGCTAGGGAAAGACACAGCAGTTGTGAAGGTAGATTTGGGAGGCAGATTTGCTAAAAGTGCTGCTGGGAAGCTTTGTGGTTGGGTAGGAGATGGAAATGCCACGGTGGTGTGTGAATAAGAGTGCTATGGCATGAGCACCGCCCTCCTAAGAAGAGTTCATCTGAAAACTAAGAGAAGGAAGGTTGTTGAATCTGGGCAAGCCTGTAGTCCCAGCACGACAGAGGGAGGCAGATCTCTGTGAGTTCAAGGCCAGCCTGAATGAGTTTCTGGACAGCCAGTACTACACAGAGAAATCATATCTCTGAAAAACAAAACAAAAAAGACCGAATCTATTAAAACGGACTGGAGAGATGCCTCAGTGGGTAAGAGCACTGACTGCTCTTCTGGGGATCTGGGTTTACTCTCCAGCACCCAAATGTCAGTGCACAACTGTAAATCTAAGACCTGACATCCTAACACAGGCATACCTGCAGGCAAAACACCAATGCACACACAAACAAATAAATAAAGGAAGCTTCAAGGCCGCATCAAACTATGTAACAAGACCCTGAATCAAAATACGCAAGGCAGGGTATGGTGTTATATACTTTTAATCCTAGCAGTGGATCTCTGGTGGGATTCTGTCTTTAAAAACAAAATCTAACTTTTCCAATTAATAATTAGTATATATATGTGTGTGGGTATATTGGAGTGAGAACAAATTAGCAAAATGTGCCTGCCCCAAGTTGCAGACATTTGCATACCATTTTCTGTGGTCACTGTCACATTGGCCTGTTACCCGTGTTCTCTTCAAAGTCACCCTGGGAGCATGTTTTATTTAAAGTCCACACAGGCATGCTATGAGTGCACACACCATTAGCCGTGGATCTGCCATGCTTTAGGAAATCCTAGGTGAGGCTGCAGGTTTCTGGGGGTGACTGGGACTTGTGCTCGAGCAGTAGTGGTAGGAAGGTAACACTGAAGCTGCCTTCTTATTCGTCTGCTGGCATCTCGCTTTGTAGCCCAGGCTAACCCGAGACTCAACAGTCCTCTGACCTCAGTCTCTAATGCTGGGTTCCAGGCATGTGCAGCCCTGCTGGTGAGGTGGACACTTCAGAGCCTGACAACTGAGTGTGTGGAAGTAAAGTTACTGAGTTTGGTGCCAAAAAAGTGGTGGTGGTAAAGGCACAAAGAGGTGACGTCCTGGTTCAGGGGTGTGGGAAGCAAGAAAAGTGTGAGACCCGGAAACGTGTGCAGGTGCAAACAGGATCCCAAAGCTGGAAGGAGAGGAGTTGTAGAGATTGTGGAACCCAGAGGGATTACAGCTTAAGTAATACAGACGCCTCACAACCATAATGAACATCTACAGGCGCCAGTCATAGCACACGCCTTTTAAATCCCCACACTCAGGCAGCTGGATCTCTGAGTTTGAGGACAGCCTGGGCTACATAAAGAGACCCTGTGTCACAAAAAAAACAAGCAGAACAACAGAATCAACAACTGCAGGTGTGAAAAGGAGTAAATAAAGAGAGGCTTGGCCAGTCTGTAGAGTGAGTTCCAGGACTGCCAGAAGCCCTGTCTGTCTGAAACCCCCACATAGGGATGTGGGGGAGCTTAGCTGGCAGGAAGTGAGTGAACTTGTTTGTAGTGTAGGAGGAAGGAGAGTGGCTGGGGCTGGTGGATTTAACCTTTAGCAGACAGACCTGGAAAGATGGTAACCCTGCCGTTTTAGGAATTTGAGGGTCTGTTTTGAGCATTATGGTCAACGGCAAGGAAATGACATATTCAAGAGACAGGAGAGAATGTTTAGAATTTGGGCACTAATGTACAGTGTGATTGTCACTTGCTTCTTTGACTCTTAAACATGTTTTGTGGAAAGGCTAGGAGTCCAGTTTTAGTATTTGTAACTGAATAAAATTCATTTAGATTTAATGAATAGTTATCCCACTGACGTTTGGGATAACTATTGCTCAGCAGTTACAGACATTTAGTGTTGGACAGAAGTATCAGACCAGGCTGAGAATTTAGTGAGACTCTGTTTCAGAATAAGTTAAAAGCAGGCTGGTGCTTACTTAGTGTACCACTAAATAGTGATTGTTTGCCTGGTGTGCGTGTAGGATGCTAGAATCAACCCAAGCACCATTTGAAGAGCAGGACAGTGAGCTAAGGACAGTGGGGGACTACGAGAGAGCTGCTCTCTGCTTCCTGCCGTCTCCTGCTCACCCCCATTGGTGGGGTCTTTCTACAAGAAAAGTGAGGGTGTCTTCATGAAGTATGAGCCATGGCCGTGCTAGGTTGGATCCTTTCTTTCAAAGTCTTGTGTCACGACTCTCATCCTGGTTCTTGCTGGGGTCAAGGAAGGAAGGACTTGGCCCCTTAGGCAGTGGGGAGTTGATTTACTCTTCCCTTTTTGCCACTGTTGAGTGAGGAACAAATGTGCTTGGGCCCCTGTCACCTAGCGGTGGATGTCACCTAGCAGTGCAGCTTCTTCTTTAGGAATAGCCACACAGCAGCTCCCTGGGATAACTCACATGTACTATACGAGTGAGTGCTGCAGGCATGGTGTGACATACAGGCATGTGCAGAGACGGAGCTCAGAGGACAGCTTGTAGGCACTGCCCCTTTCCCAAGCCAGTCGTGGGACTCAATTTAAGATGGGAAATGTCCACAGTAAAACAGCTTTACTACTGTGAAAGCTGAGAGGTGAAAACTTTTGGGTTGGAAGGCTTACTACTTGTCAGGCCTGTCTCCTGAATCAGAAGCCCAAGACCAGGCCTTCCTTGTGGAGCCTAATGACCACTCCTGTTCTGTCATGTAAGGGTAATTGTACATAGGAAGATTCTGTACGTTAACATATTGCTGCCCTCTGGCCACACATATCTTTAGAACCTTCTAGTCACTGTGCCAGTCGAAAACCTCTGCATAGCCAGGCATAGAGGCACACATCCATAATTAAAGATACACATAGATTTTTTTTAAAATTCAAATTAATTGGAAGGAAGGAGGAGCACACAAGTTTGAAGCCATTCTGAGATAGTCTTAGAAAAACATACCTGTACAAATTCCCACACTTCCTGGGAGGGAGCAGGGACAGTGTAGCTCTCTGAGACCCACTCACTGCTTTGGCTAAGCAATTCATCCACGCAGTCAGTCCCAGCAAGACAGCAAGGCCTGTTCCTAAACTAAGACCTTGTCTCACATCGAAACAGGAAGTTGAACTTAGAACTTCTGAGCCAGGCACCAGGCATGGTGGCGCACACCTTTAATCCCAGCACTCAGGAGGCAGAGGCAGGTAGATCTGAGTTTGAGGCCAGCCTGGTCTACATGGTGAGTTCCAGGACAGCCAGGGCTGCATAGTGAGATTCTGTCTCAGAAAAAAAAAATGAATAAATTAAAAAAAAATTAACCTGAACTTCAGAGACTGATAGAAGGGTGGCCCAAGAATAATTTAACTTTCCTATTGCCAAACTTTTGTTGCCTCTGTGTTTAGAATGCACCTATAGCTGGGGGGCGGGGGGTGCGTGCACACACACCTTTAATCCCAGTCATTTGGGAGGCCACAGCTGCAAGATCAAGTTTGAGATAAACTAGTGAGCAAAATCTTATCTCCTTAGGGGGGTGGAGTGGGGACGAAAATCTTCATTTCTAAGATGTACTCTGAGGAAGGCAGGGGGCCTGAGCACTGGCTAAGTGTTTACCTGAGTGATGTTTTAACTTATGAGATGAAAACACAGCAGCTAAGGAGTCTAGCCACCGATGAGTAACTGTAGCCTATGAAAACCAGAGTTTCTGTGATATTCTTAAGATTGAAATACATAGCACTGGGCTGCACATTTATATTCAAAGCAAGATAGAAAGCTAAAATTTTCTTTTGAGCCTAGGCCTGAATTAGAATCATGACCACCCTGAGTAAGGAGACAGCATAATTATTATTTAATTGTAACTTACTATTTTATGTGGGTGTTTTGCCTACCTAAATGTGTGTGCACCACATGTATGCCTGGTGCCCGCAGAGGCCAGATAAGGGTGTTGGATTCCCTAGAACTAAGAGTTCCAGGTAGTTGTGAGCTGCCATGTGGGTGCTGGGAATTGAACCCAGGTCCTTTGGAAGAGCAGCCAGTGCTCTAAACCTCTGAGCCATCTCTCCAGCCTCTACGATAGTTATAATTGACTGATGTCCTTTTGACTGGTGACCCTAATAGGCCAGATTTCATATCTAAAAGGGAGACCTGAGCGTGAGTTGGGGACGACTTGAGGATGTGTCTGGTAGATAACACTACAGTAAAGAAGCATTTGAAAATGAGCTAGTTAAGCGTGGTGTTGTATCGAATCCTTTGACCGGGGAAAGTTGAGGGATTGCCATTGGTTTTTCCAACCCCTCATGGCTGAATGGCTCTTTGTAAGCGCACTATATCTGCCTTGCGACTGTCTTAGCCCCGGAGACAAATCACGTGAAGGGATTGTTTTCACATTCAGAATGGCCTACAGCTGGTAGTCTTCCCACCAACTGGCTGACTCTTCCTGACCTGAGTCCCCATGCCCTCCTGCCACACGGTGCATGTTACATAGACCATCTAGTTGAAAGACACATTTGCCTCGGCCTTCTACTAACCTCCCCTTTTCTCTCTCTCCTCCTGTTCCTCCTTTCCTCTTCCCCTCTTCTCTGTTGCTGCTGCAGAGCGTCTCTACAGCCAACTTGAGCGAAACCGCCTGCTTTCTAATGAACTGAAGCTAACGCTGCATGATCTGTGTGACTGACGGGCAGGGCTCCCTGTGCCCAGTAAACCCACACCACTGACCCGGACCCCAGCAAAAGCAGATTGTCTTTTTAAAAAGTTATTGTTTTGCCCTAAGCAAGTTAGTTTTTATTGAGGGCAGTTAGAGTACTGTTCATTTCCTGATGACCCCCAGGAAGCTGCAGTTCTTCTCTATTTTAGGAGAAATTGTAGATGATGAAGGAAGGGGCCTGGAAATTTAGTGGGGGACTTGGGAAGCCTTAGCTGCAGCCTTCTCCCCTGTGCACCCGCTTTAGGGTTGGCACTTTTGCATGGATTATTTTCTAACAATAAAAAGACTGACTTGACAAGATGTTGTAACTGCTTCATCTTCAGGCCCAGAGATGGGCTCTTCTGACTGGATGGAAATGGGCGGGAAAGAAGGGTGCGTGGCACGAACATCACTGACCTGCGAGTTTTCCTCCCTTCCCTGGAGCGCCATAGTTACCCGCAGGTTAACTGCTTGGTGTCCTACCACTGGCTTTCTTCCTGATAGTTTCCTTCTTGCTGCTTTTGGGTTTAGCTGTGTATCACTGTCTGGGGCCTACTCTGTTGATGCCTCTGCTGAAATCTCAATGGGGCTTTGCTCGCAAGAATGTGTCTGGGTAGTATTCTTGACTTAAACCTGAGGACCCCTGTCTCTCCACTCTGGAGAAAGTACCTACTGCAGGGGGTTCTTCCTGTGCTCTTTCCTGAGGTATTGGTGTTTGTCCTCATCCGCAGCGGTCACACACCTAGTGTGACATTTCAAGGAGATGCTGACCTGTGGGCGGAGTGCGGAGTGGTGCCTGGTGCTTTCAGCCTGACTCTGGAGACTGAAAGCTCAGTGCCTCTTGGCTGCCTGTGGGAGGAAGAGGGAATGGCTGAAGCCCCCCCCAGGCAGCGGAGAAAAGCCAGAGTCCCCGCAGAGCCCAGGGATGCCTTAGCCGCCTTCTATAGCTTCCTTGCGACTGGTGCAAGTCTCAGAATAGGGAGAGCTTGAAACTGACTTTCTGTAACTCCTCTCTGTTCCCACTAGATAAGCTGAAGTGCACCAAAGAGGAACACCTCTGTACACAAAGGATGCTGGACCAGACCCTGCTGGACCTGAACGAGATGTAGAGCGCCCTAGTCCCCGCCCCGCCCTGCGACCGCTCCTCCCTCTGACCCTGACTCCGCCTGAGGCCAGCCTGCCTGAAGCTGACCTTGAAACCGAGGGCTGATCTTTTTAACTGAAGGCTGCTTCCCCTCCTGCCACCCCCCTTTACCCTTCATGTCTTTTTCATAAAACTGTGTCAGCCTCTTCCCAGAGTTGCAGCTGGAGGGGCTGAGCACCTTTGGGAACAATATTTAAGGGAGTGTGAGCACAATGCACTTGTCTTCAGTGCACTTGGGATCTGCGCATTGTGATTCCTTTTGTCCATTGTAACATTCCAAGCGCTTCCACAGCTTGGAGCAGCAGCCCAGTTAGTTCCTTGTCACTGTTGGAAGGTGACTTGTCGGCCTAATGGATACTGCTCTCTCCATAGAGGAGGAACACAGGACTGGGCCTGCCTTGCTGACAGCCAGAGCCCGGCAGGCTCCACTGTGGGACACCTCGGTTCTCTGCACCAAGTCCTAGCCAAACCACAGGGAATTCTAGGAAGTTAGCCAAAACAAAAAACTCTTCCGGGCTGTGAAGGTTTCCATCTTTGATATCTTTGAACAACTTTAACCTTGTTTTTATGTTTTACTTTTTCCATCAGACGTGACCAAATGAGCCGGTGAGGCGTCTGAGATGCCCCACTCCCCGGCCTTGTGCATGCCAGGCAGGCATGCTACCCTGCGGCCCAGCCCCGAGACCCACTGGTCTCCCCTCCACCCCTTCCTAACTGCTCACACGGATCATGATGCCCCTTAGTGTTCGCCTGCCCTGAGGGAGAAAGAAAAGGAAGATTATGTTTGTGCCACTGATTTAGCCGTGTGGATCATCTCATTGCCTTTCCCGAAGCTGCTGTCTCTTAAAGTGCCATCTCGTTGTGCTTCATATCAGTCAGTGCTGGAGAAATCTTGAATAGCTTATGTAAAAAAACTTTTTAAATTTTATATTATTTTGAAATTTTGATTTTGGGGACTTGGGTTATCTTGGTCAACCCATTGGCTGTGAGAATCCTTTGCAGTCTGTGGGCTGGCGGTGTGCCGATCTTTCTAGTGTCTCCGCCCAGTTGCCATGTTCAGGCAGTCTCTTCAAGGCCTGTTGTAGGTGGGCACGCTGCAGCTTCCTGGCTTATTTGTACTCCTGTCCAGAGAGAGAACCCCATAGTGCAACTGTTTTGATACTGAATATCAACACGTGACATTTTGAAATAAAGAACCAGTCCTTCCACCCTCAGACCGACTTGACTCTATTAAACCAAGTGTGCTTTCTCCTCCACAGGGCTCCACAGACCAGGCTGAAAGTCAAGTCTTTGTGCCTGAAAGCCTCAGAATTTAACACAGCGCGCACACACTGGAAACAGACAAAATTAAAAACAGGTTCAGAGTGTGACTGGGATTAGGGAGATGGTACCCATCATCCATAGACCCAGCCCACCAGCCAGCAGACAGGAACATCCCTAGGCCTTACTGGCCAACCAGGTGGCCAAATCAATAAGCTTCAAGTTCAGTTTAGACCCTTTCTCAGATGATCAGACGTGGTGTTGTGCGCCTTTAATTCTGGTACTCGAGGCAGAGACGGTTGGATCTCTTGAATTTCAAGCCAGCCTGGTCTATAGAACAAGTTCCTGGACAGCCAGGACTACACAAACACTGTCTTGAAAAAATACTCATCTCCAAAAATACAATGTGCTGTAGGGGTGGCTTGGGAATTGGGAGCACCTGCTTTGTGGGGGCACTGAAGGGGGGTCGCCAGCCTAAGTGGTGACCTGATTCCGTCACTCCAGTTCCAGGTGTCTGAGGGCTTTGCACATGTCTTCCACTTACACTCTGAAGGCTCACACACAGACAGACACATAATTTGTAAAATTTAAAATAAGATTGGCAGTGGTGGTGCATACCTTTAAATCTCAGCACGCCGGAGGCAGAGGCAGGCGGATTTTTGAGTTTGTGGCTAGCCTGGTCTACAGAGTGAGTTCCAAGATAGCCAGAGCTTCAGAGAAACCCTGTCTCAAAAAGAAGAAAAATTCCATTTTGTTTCATGAGACAGGGTTTCTATAGATCTGGATATCCTGAAACTCAAAAACTCACTATGTACACAAGGCTGGCCTCAAACTCAAACTGTAGCCGGGGCGGCAGTGGCACACGCCTTTAATCCCAGCACTCGGGAAGCAGAGGCAGGTGGATCTCCGTGAGCTCGAGGCCAACCTGATCTAAAAAATTTTTTTTTTTTAAATTAAGGTAGTATTTCAGGAAGATCTCCTAGGTTGATGTTTGACTTCTTTTTTAAAAAAAATATTTATTATGTATACAACATTCTGCTTCCACATGCCAGAAGACAGAGCCAGATCTCATTACAGATGGTTGTGAGCCACCATGTGGTTGCTGGGAATTGAACTTAGGACCTCTGGAAGAGCCTAACCACTGAGTTTTTTTTTAAACTCAGTGTTTTAAACTCAGAGTGTTTTTAACCACTGAGCCATCTCTCCAGCCCGACGTTTGACTTCTACATGCTTGCCTTTTTTCCAATTCCTGTCTATTCATACATAATTACTTGTCTTCTGGCTTGTTGAAGCAGTAAGACAGCACTTGCTACAGTAATGTCTGTCAAAGTGGCTAGCCATGAAAGCTCCAGCACCACATTCATCAGAAGGACACTCGACGAAGACGACTAATTTTGCCATTTTCATCCACCTTGTACTTCAGTACAGCCAGCTTCACCTTCTCTCTCTTATGCTTGTTCTTCTTGGGAGTGGTGTAAGACTTCTCCTTCCTTTTCTTAGCACCACCACGAAGTCTCAACACCAAATGAAGGGTGGACTCCTTTTGGATGTTGTAGTCAGACAAAGTACGGCCATCTTCCAGCTGCTTGCTAGCGAAGATCAGCCTCTGCTGATCAGGAGGAATTCCTTCCTTATCCTGGATCTTGGCCTTGACATTCTCTATAGTGTCCGAGGGTTCAACCTCGAGCGTGATGGGTGATGGTTTTCCCGTAAGGGTCTTCACGAAAATCTGCATCCTGGTGGCGCTGCCACCACAGATGGTGGATCGGAAGAGCCTCGCAGGTCAACGGGGTTTTTTTGTTTTTTTTGTTTTTTTGTTTTTTGTTTTTCGACAGGATTTCTCTGTAGCTTTTGAAGCCTATCCTGGAACTAGCTCTTGTAGACCAGGCTGGTCTCAAACTCACAGAGATCCACCTGCCTCTGCTTCCCGAGTGCTGGGATTAAAGGTGTGCGCCACCACCTCCCGGCTCCCACACTCATTTTTTAACTTTTGTGTGTGATAGTCTCAATATAGCCCTGGCTGGGCCAGTACTTAGAATACAAACCAGGCTGGCCTTGAACTCAAAAGAGCCACCGGTATCTGCCTCCCAAATTCTGGGATTAAAGGTACAAGCTACCATGTCCAACGTTTTTCTTTTTTTAAAAAAAAACTGTTTATGTGCATTGGTGTTTGGACTGCATGCTGTCTGTGAGGGAGCTGGACTCCCTGGAGCTGAGTTACAGCTGTGAGCTGCCGCACGCCAGTGCTGAGAATTGAACCCAGGTCCTCGGAAAGGGCAGCAAGAGCTTTTAACTGCTGAGCCATCTCTCCACACACTTTTTAAAATTCTTTTGTTTGTTTTTCGAGACAGGGTTTTTCTGTAGCCCTGACTGTCCTGGAACTCACTCTGTAGACCAGGCTGGCCTCAAACTGAAGAGATCCACCTGCCTCTGCTTCTTGAGTGCTGGGATTAAAGGCATGCACCACTGCCGCCTGGCAATACTCAGTTTTAAAGTACTTCTCTTTCTCTATTTTATTTGGGTTTTCAAGACAGGGTAGTCCTGATGGTGACTGACAGTTTTTCTGCATAGTCTTGACTGTCCTAGAATTCACTTTGTAGACCAGGCTGGCCTGCTTCTGAGTGCTGCGATTAAAGGTGTGTGCCACCATGCCTGGCTCAAAATATTTCCTAAGCAAAAAAACTTAGCTCCTAAATTCTTGGGTCCTCCAGACATGATGACTCATAACCATAATTCCAGTAAGGACAGGAGGTCAGGGCAAAGTCTGAGGCTATTCTGGGACTCGTACTAAGTTCCAGACCAGCCTGGACTACAAAGTGAAACAGCCTCACACCGAAAGGGACCAGGGAGATGGCTCAGTGGCTAAAGACACTAGCTGCCTGAGCCTAAGGACTGTGGTCCCCGGGGTCAGTTGACTCCTGCTGATCTGCTTCTGACCACTATGCCCATGCTGTGGACTCGTGACAACGTGTACTCAACAGGCACACCCAAATGTCTGGATGTAAATTCTTTAACGCCATCACCTGAACAGTGGAGACAACGTGAAGACAGGCCACATACTCTAACAGACTGAACTACCCTTATGTCATTACAGCCATGTGAACTCCATAGACTTAGACTCCTTAATATGTCATATTGCTTGTACTCCTGACTATTCTTTTGAATACTTGGAGAAAACAAGTTTTTTTTTACATTTGTTTTGCTTTTGCTCTCGTGTAAGGGGATTTCGGAGGCCAGGGGCCAATACCCGTTGCCTTCCTCAATCACGGTTCACTGTTTTTTGAGACAGATGGAGTCTCACGTGAACCCATTGTTCACAGATCAGCTAGACTGCTGGCACTGTCTTCGCCTCCCAGTGTGCTGGGATGAGAGGCATGCTGTGCCTCCACTTTTATGTGGATGCTGGGAACTCAAGACAAGCACACCATATCTCCAGCTTCTTTGAAAGGGTTTATTTTGTAGATTAGGCTTTTATATATATAATTTATTTAACTATTTTTTGTGCATTGGTGTGAAGGTATCAGATCCCCTGGAACTGGAGTTTCACGGAGCCGTTAGCTGTCATTTGGGTGCTGGGAATCGAACCTGGGTCCTCTGGAAGAGCAACCAGTGCTCTTCCTCTCTAGTCCCCTAGACTAAGGTTCTTGATCCCCCTGCCTCAGCCCCTGCTTACTGGGGTTATGGATATGTGCCACCACAGCCCAGTCACGCACACATGTGCCCAGGGTTTCTGTTGTCGAGTCAGGTTGTGTGAGACAATGACTTTCTCAGTTGCTTCTGAGGTCAGTGCCAGCTATTTCCTGTATCATGGTCTGGAAGCAGGACATAAATCCTAGGAAAAATAACATACATACCTTGACTAAGGCCAGATGTTCATGCTAGAGCCTGGGATTTTTTCCACTTATAGCCTGAGACTAATGCTGACTGGAAATCCCTTCAATTTTTTAAGTTAAATAACTTGTTTCTTGTGTTATTGGAGGGTGTGAACCTAGACCCTTGTGCATGTGAGTCATACGTTTCATCCTTATCTTTCTGCCCTTTTTTATTAAAAACCTTAAAATCGAACCAAACAATAACAGCATGTGGAGTTGAGATGGGAGACACTGCTGGATTTTTGGACCTTTCTTTCTGGTCTTAGCTAGTGAAGTTTACCACCAAATATTTAGTAAGGCGGTCCTTTGGTCCTGTGCCCGAAATTTACATGTTAGTTTGGACGCACTTAAAAAGTACCCACAATTCCTAGTGAGAAAAGCATCCGCTGACGTTGTGGCTGCGGGTTGGTTGGTGTTGGGGGGGTGGGGCAGTAGTTGAGTGGGAAGTTGAGACCAGGGCGGTAGCCATGATTATCTCTAGGGCTCCTGGAACCCGAAGCTTCAGGCACCTTTTCTGCTTGACTCCACACCACCTCCTGCTGTTTTTAGTTGGGACCTTGGCCAACAAACTCAATGTGCCGCAAGTGTTACTGCCGTTCAGCCGGGAGCCAGGCCGGGTGCCCTTCTTGCTGGAGGCGCAGCGCGGCTGCTACACCTGGTGAGGGGCGCCAGAGGTCGCAGGATCTTGTCCCCACAGTGAAGAGGGACAGGCTTACAGGAGTGAGGTGTGGTCCCACAGTGTGCAGGGGCCTGAATGTGGCATCCTTGAATGGAATAGACCCTAAATTGGAGGCTTTTTAAATTAAGAAATGTACTAGGATACGAGTCTGCCTCCCTGCTGAGACAGCCCTTGTAAGCAACTGTCGGCACAGGCAAGCCCTATGCCAGACACTGCCGCCATTTATTTTCTCCAATTTGAGGGATTTATGATGGAAACAAAGACAGGTGAAGTGAGAGCCACATTAGAAGACCCTGACAGCAACGACAAAACTAGAGTAACAAGAAAACGATTCATCATGCCTGAAAATGAGATCCGCCTGTGTGATGAGAGCTCCCTTCCCCTGGTGCAACGGAAGAGGGAAGAAAACTGGGTAGTCTGTCCTGGGTTAATGACCTTCCCGACTCTAAGAGAACCCAAAGGCAGGTCATGCGGCTACCAGAATTGTACGGGAGTTTAACTAAAATAATCCTAAATGAAAGAGATTTCCCCTTTCTCTACCTTTGCAGAACAGAGGGTTGGACTGTGGCTTTGCACATGGTAGGCAAACCCTCTGCTGAGAAACTGCATCCCCAGCCCCTTCCCTGCCTCATGAGAAGCAGTGAGGTTTTTATCTCAGAGTACAAGAATTTCAAGTCTCATTTCATGAGGAAGTATAAGGAACTTAGGCTTGTAGAGGTCCTAGTGTGGTGGCCATCTTTCAGGAATTTGAGAGCTTTTCATCCAGGCGAGTTGTATTTTTGTTTGGTCTCAGGAAGTAGGTAGAGGAAGCCCTGTCTGTCTTGTTGCAAACATAGCCCCAATGTTATTTCCCGTAGCCCCAGTGTTATTTTCCACAGCGTGAGGTTTTTTGTTTTTTTTTGTTTTGTTTTGTTTTTTTGTTTTTGTTTTTTATTTTTTGTTTTTTTGAGACAAGATTTCTCTGTGTATCCCTGGGCATCTACATCTAGAAACATACTCTTAGACTAGGCTGGTCTCGAGACTCACCTGCCTCTGTCCCCTAAGTGCTAGGATTAATGGTATATGCCTCTACCACCTGGCAAGTCTTTTTTTAACCATTCTGGGAGGAATATAGCATTGTAGATCTTTGCAAGAGAAACCACTGGGAAAAGATTCAGATCACTCTCCTGTTTTAATCTTGTGTCCTCTGACACTTCTACAGAGTGTCTTTAAGCAAGCCTAGTCGTATGTAGCATGAGAGAAGTGAGGATCTTTCTTCCAGATGTCACCTTGACCCAATCATTTCATGCTCTTTTTTTTTTCCCTTTGGTTTTCCAAGACAGGGTTAGCTGTCCTGAAACTAGTTGTTTTTTTCTTTTTAATTTATTTATTATGTATACAATATTCTGTCTGTGTGTATGCCTGCAGGCCAGAAGGGGGCACCAGACCCCATTACAGATGGTTGTGAGCCACCATGTGGTTGCTGGGAATTGAACTCAGGACCTTTGGAAGAGCAGGCAATGCTCTTAACCTCTGAGCCATCTCTCCAGTCCCTGGAACTAGTTCTTATAGACCAGGCTGGCCTCGAACACACAGAGATCCACCTGCCTCTGCCTCCCAAGTGCTAGGATTTTATTTTTTATGTATACAACATTCTGCCTCCATGTGTGCCTGCATGTCAGAAGAGGGCACCAGATCTTATTACAGATGGTTGTGAGCCACCATGTGGCTCACCAGGACCTCTGGAAGAGCAGCCAGTGCTCTTAACCACTGAGCCATCTCTCCAGCCCCTGAGTGCTAGGATTAGAGGTGTGTGCCACCACTGCTTGGCTCGCATTTCATGCTCTAAACCGTTTGCTTTGGCAGGCATTCCACTCATCATGATGCAGTAACCATTGAGCCTTCTTATGAAAATGGCACCTCTTGCTCCCAAAGAGCTATTCTTGTTGCTGAATCCACCCAACCAATCCGCCTCAGCAGCATTATTCTTGCTCGAGAAGTAGGTATGTTATGGAATTTGTTTGTTTGGTTCTGTGACTGATGTTTCCTTGAGACAGGGTCTCACTATGTAACCCTGGCTGGCCTGGAGTTCAGTATGTAGACCAGGCTGGCCTCTGCCTATTGAGTGGTAGGATCAAAGGTGTGCACTACCATGTACAACCATTTATTTGGAATTTTGAAATGGCCTGTCTGGCCCTGGTACTCATTATGTAACCCAGGCTGGCCTTGAACTCACAGATGTTCATGCATTACCCTCGTGTATGAAGAAATTAAAGATGTATATCACCATGCCTGGCAAGAAAAGGCTATGTTAAAAGCAAAGATGAGTAAGATAATGTCTTATATTAATGATTGACACAATTGTGTTTGGCTTCAAGTATTAAGAACCTAAAGATGATATAAATCATAATATTGTAGATGCTATCAATCCTGACAACCTGGGGGAGAAGGAAAAGAACCAAATCCTAAATGTTGTGCTCTGATCTCTGAAGGGAGGAGGCAAAAACACCTTGGCCTAAGTACTGCCATTTTGATATGAGACTCCATTTTACCCGTAGGGTGAAACAAAGTTCAGGTTCCCAAGCCCTAGGGGAACTGGAGCTTTCCAATGGCTGATCAGCCCTCCTTAGACACTGGAAACCGTCTGTTATGCCCTTAGTTCTCTAAAACATTACGGCTGTTTCTAACAACAGAAAGAAGAAATGATGCTGATTGGCTGGACCCTCTGTGTTGGTTGACAGTGACGGAACACATAGGGAAAGTCCCCAGTCTTTGGCTCCTGATGGGTGAAAGCTGTAACTGGAACTTGGCAACAAATGTTTGTGGCTTTTCTGCTTATAAACCCCACTTCTGTCCTTGCTCGGGCTGTCAGGGGAAGTGAGGCTCCTGCGTCCTTGTCCTGACTGGTCAGGGCTGCAACGATCACAGAGCCTTGATGTGGCAAGTTCTTAAAGTCTTTGGAGCCACAGGTGTCGCTCTCCTTCCTCGTGGACAACGGACATGACATGTGCACTTGTGCACGCTCGTGTGTGTATACTCATGTAAAAATAATATGATTTTAAAACTTCATGGCCTAATTTTTCCATTCTATTTATTTTGGTTGGTTTGTGTGTGTGTGTGTGTGTGTGTGTGTGTGTGTTTGATTTTTGAGACACAGTCTCACTTATGTAGACCAGGTTTCTACCTGTCTCTGATTCCCAGGTACTGGAATAAAGACATGTGCCATACTTAGCCTAAAAGCATTTTAGTGACATTTATGTGTAACATGACGGGGGCCAGCTTATTGGGGTATCTGTCCCACCTAGTACTCCACAGCCGGCAAGTCCCAAAGAAAATCACGCACAAGACTCCATAAGATTATAAACTGATTGGCCCATTAGGTCAGGCTTCTTGTTAACTCTTATAACTTATATTAACCCATTATTCTCATCTATGTTAGCCACAATGGCTCCGTACCTTTCTCAGCTGGACATGTTACATGCTGCCTCTTCGGTGGTCTGCGCAGGAGTGGCAGAGGAACCTCCCTGCTTCCCAGAATTCTCCTGTTCTCATTGCATCACCTCTACTTCCTGTCTGGTTTTTCCGCCTATACTGCCTGCCTGGCCAATCAGCTTTTTATTAAAATATGATTGACAGAATACAGACAATTCTCCCACACCATTTATGTGTGTGGGGAGGTGGTATGTAGGAAATGACATGCGTGTGGAGGTTAGAGGACAGCTGTTAGGAGTTGGTTCTTGCCTTGCACCATGTGGGCCCCCAGATTTGAGCTCAGATTGTCAAGTTGGGGAGCAAGCTTAGGTCCTACCTATGGTTTTGTGTGTGTGTGTGTGTGATTTTTGGTTTTTGTTTTTAGACAGAGTTTTACTACATAGCCCTGGCTAGCTGGAAACTCCCTGTATAGAACATGCTGGCCTCAAATTCACAGAGAACTTCTTGCCTCTGCCTCCCACGTGCTAAAATTAAAGATGTGCACTGCCGCACCTGGGTTGCTTTTGTTTGCTTGGCTTTTCGAAGCAGGGTTTCTGTGTGTTCCTTTCTTTCCTGGAAATCACTCTGTAGACCAAGCTGGTCTTGAACTCACGAGATCCACTTGCCTCTGGCTCCTGGGACTCAAGGCATACACCACTACTCCTGGTTCTTGGGTTTATTTTTGTTTTAATTATGAATACTCAGCCTTTGTTTAGGCTTGTTCCACTAGCTCTTTTTTAATTTTAAATTTTTATACATTTTTTATTGATATTTATTGAGCTCTACATTTTTCTCTGCTCCCCTCCCTGGCTCTCCCCTCCCCCTTCAACCCTCCCCCAAGGTCCCCATGCTCCCAATTTACTCAAGAGATCTTGTCTTTTTCTACTTTCTACTTCCCATGTAGATTAGATCTATTTAAGTCTCTCTTAGTGTCCTCATTGTTGTCTAAGTTCTCTGGGATTGTGGTTTGTAGGCTGGCTTTCTTTGCTTTATGTTTAAAAACCACCTATGAGTGAGTACATGTGATAATTGTCTTTCTGGGTCTGGGTTACCTCACTCAAAATAATGTTTTCTAGCTCCATCCATTTTCCTGCAAAATTCAAGATATCATTATTTTTTTCCTGCTGTGTAGTACTCCATTGTGTAAATGTAGCACATGTTTCTTATCCATTTTTCAATCGAGGGGCATTTAGGTTGTTTCCAGGATCTGGCTATGACAAACAAAGCTGCTATGAACATAGTTGAGCACATGTCCTTGTGGCGTGATTGAGCATCCTTTGAATATATACCCAAAAGTGGTATTACTGGGTCTTGAGGAAGGTTGTTTCCTAATTTTCTGAGAAATTGCCACACTGACATCCAAAGGGGCTGTCCCAGCTTGCATTCCCACCAGCAATGCAGAAGTGTTCCCTTTTCCTCATAACCTCTCCAGCATAAGTTGTCATCAGTGTTTCTGATCTTGGCCATTCTTACAGGTGTAAGATGGAATCTCAGAGTTGTTTTGCTTTGCATTTCTCTGATGACTAAGGATGTTGAACATTTCCTTAAGTGTCTTTCAGCCATTTTAGATTCCTCTGTTGAAAGTTCTCTGTTTAGGTTTGTACTCCATTTTTTTTTATTGGATTATGTGATCTTTTGGTGTCCAGTTTCTTGAGTTCTTTGTATATTTTAGAGATCAGATTTTTTCCCATTCTGTAGGCTGTCATTTTGTCTTGTTGACCATGTCCTTTGCTTTACAGAAGGTTTTCAGTTTCAGGAGGTCCCATTTATTAATTGTTTCTCTCAGTGTCTGTGCTGCTGGAATTCTATTTAGGAAGTGGTTCGCTGTGCCAATGCATTCAAGTGTACTTCCCACTTTCTCTTCTGTAAGGTTCAGTGTGGCTGGCTTTATGTTGAGGTCTTTGATCCATTTGGACTTGAGTTTTGTGAATGGTGATAGATATGAGTCTATTTTCTATCAGTTATGCCAGCACCACTTGTTAAATTTTCTTTCTTTTTTCCATTTGATATTTTTTGCTTCTCTATCAAAGATCAGGTGTTCAAAAATGTGTGGATTAATATCTGGGTCTTCTATTTAGTTCCATTGGTCCTCCTGTCTGTTCTTATGCCAAGGGCTGTTTTCAGTACTGTAGTTCTGTAGTAGAGTTTGAAGTCAGGGATTGTGATGCCTCCAGAAGTTCTTTTATTGCACAGGATTGTTTTGGCTACCCTGGGTTTTTTGCTTTTCAATATGAAGTTGAGTACTGTTCTTTCGAGGTCTCTGAGGAATTTTGCTGGGATTTTGATAGGCATTGTGTTGAATCTGTTCTTGGGTTTCTTTTTGTTTCAGTTTTGTTTGTTTATTTTTGAGACAGGGTCTCTTGGTCTTGGCTAGCCTTGAACTACTGGTGATACTCTTGCCTTAGCCTTTTAAACACCAAGATTGCAGAGTGCGTTGTGTGTGTGTGTGTTGTGTGTGTGTGGTGTATGCATTTTCATGTGGAGGCCAGAGCTTAGCTTCTGGTATCTTTTTCAGTTGCTCTTCTTTTTATTTTTGAGGCAGGGTCTCTCTTTGTTTTTTTTAATTTTTTTATTTAATGTTTATTTATTTATTATGTATACAATATTCTGTCTGTATGTCTGCTGGCCAGTGAGCCCCCCAGGATCGCCTGTCTTCACTCACCTAGCCCTGGGGTTACAAAGGTGTGCCACACCATGCCTGGTTTTTATGTGTGGTCTGGGGATGCAAACTCAGATCTTTATACTTGTGAAACAAACATTTGCTCACTGAGCCGTCTTCCCAGACAGCCTCATGTAGCACAGGATGCCCCGGAACTCACTGTATACTTGCTGCTGGCCTTGAACTCCTGATCCTTTTGCCTCTACTCCCTGAGTGCTGAGGATACAGGAGTGTACCATCACAGCTGGTATCCCTGTAATTTTTGATATTTCCAAGTGTGTTGGGGAGCCAGGTTTAGTGGTGTAGACTCGTAACCCCAGCTATTGGGGGCTGGAGGCTGGAGGATCATAAGTTCAAGGCCAGTATGGGCTATTCAGTCTTAAAATTAAAACGAGAGCTAGGGATATGAGTTAGTGGCAGAGAGGTTGCCTAGCTTGTGTGAGACCTTGTATTCAATCCCCAGTACTGCAAGCAAATAAATAGTGTTAGTCAGATGTCCCTCAGTTTGGGTTTGTCTGGTTTGTAATAGATTCTCTGCACCGCACCCCCTACAATAGGTTTCTCTGCAGACTCAGTAAGTCAGGTGAAGCTGAATTGAAAAAGTATAACAGGCTTATCTGAGCAAAGCAATTCCCAGGCAGCTTCTCCAGTCTCAGAGATCGAGACCAGAGAAGCCACACACCTGAACTAAAGCAGGGAAATTATATAGTTGTAGGCAAGACATGATGATATGTCCACCACAAGTTGCGTTTGTGCCCAAGTATGATCCAAAGCAGAACACTTTAGGTGGAGACTTGGCAGCTGGCCACTTCAGGGGAGGAGCTGCTGTAGCCACCAAGAATGCAGAACTGGGCTTTTTGGTGCCTTTTCTTT